ATTTAGCAGCAGGTTTGAGGACTATCTCTTATGTTAAAATTAGTTTTGACTCTTTAAGCTAAAATTCATCACTGAATTGATGCTAAGACAAGAACACATCTAAAGGAAACATGAAATTGCAAATGCATTTTGTGATGTGACATCATTGTTTACTTACAAGGGTAACTGATTAATTAATTCAAAAAAGTACAGTAAAATATCAATTTTTCTTTTGTGGTCCTTTTCACCTCACTGTCTGATGATCCAAATGAAATTTTTGGCTGTATAAACTTCTAACCCTGGCTTTTTCTTTCAGTCTTCCTTTCTTGCTCTTACCTTGTTTCTACTTGCTCATTTATTGTCTTCACTATTTAGTTGATAATAGTCCATCTGCTTCTCAGAAACTACTTAGAACTGCTGCCAGAAAGCAGCACTTCCACCTTGAAATACCATTATAGGAGGAAAGATACCAGAGGATCTTCATGGGCAAAATTTGGAATATGACTGGCCAGGATGACTCAAATAAATAAACATTAAAGTTGGTGGTTTTCTACTCTCAGGGGCATCTTTTGTGAGAGAGATAAAAGAACAGAAAAAAAGCTGTTCCATGAGAAGAAGAGGAAGGAAGGAAGGAAGGAAGGAAGGAAGGAAGGAAGGAAGGAAGGAAGGAAGGAAGGAAGGAAGGAAGGAAGGAAGGAAGGAAGGAAGGAAGGAAGGAAGGAAGGAAGGAAGGAAGGAAGGAAGGAAGGAAGGAAGGAAGGAAGGAAGGAAGGAAGGAAGGAAGGAAGGAAGGAAGGAAGGAAGGAAGGAAGGAAGGAAGGAAGGAAGGAAGGAAGGAAGGAAGGAAGGAAGGAAGGAAGGAAGGAAGGAATTCACATAGTCTGTTTCTCTTAAGTGCTTGTGTTCATGTGCTTTGCTTCCCAACAACAAAATCACCTGCTAAAATGTTCAACAAAGGTAGAACAGAAACTCCACAGCTGAGCTGCCTCTTCAACCAAGTTGAAAAAAATCAAAATTAATTCTGGCCTGAGGAAAGAATACCAAATTTAATATGGTATTTTACTACTATGGAACTAATCCTCTGAATCAAATAGATTTTTAAATGAAAGGGCTAGTCTCTGACAGAAGAGAAAAATGCTGCCTATTTGTGTGATTAAGAAAAATGTAGGTCTGCAATAAAATTATTGTTATGGAGGGGGAAATGTTTTTGACGAAGCGATAAACTTGGAGGCTGAAGTAAGGTTTGTTTATTCTCTATGAATGTCAGTTCCTGTGAGCTATCAGATGCAATAAAGCATAAAATTCTGTTTGATTTATATTCACATGGTCTAATATCATATAATAAGTGATATTGAAATCCACAAGACATATCTTCTAGGGCTGGTAATTTAATTTCAGTATTTTTGGATTAGTGATGGAAAGTTATGGATTAGAAAAGATATCAATGTATGTGAACCTTTTAGATAAATAAAGTACCAGAAAATACTCTCCTGAGATAAGAAGGTTAATAGATATACCCTTGAATTTAAGCTTCTTTTAAGTGCTGTGTCACCAGTATATTCTTTGATTATAGAAGTTTGTGAAAACCCCATGTTAAGCAGGCTTTGAACTGAAAAAAAAAAAAACAACAAGGCACCAGTTAAAATAAGAATTACATAATTTTGAACATTTGCTGTACACTTCCATATGAAAGGAACATTTAAATTGTTGCACCAAGCTTGATGCAGATAGTATAATTAAAAGAAAAGATAAATCAGAACCAAAATTCATCAGGGGAATTGATTTAGCTAACACACTTTCACAAATTAGAAAGCCAGAGGGGTACAACCAGAATCATCTAGTCTGACCTCTTGCATTCCATATAATGTGATTTTTCTGAATTAATTCTCATCTCATCTAGCACTTTTCTTTTAGAAAGACATTTGATCTTGATTTTTAAATGCATAGCAAAAATGGCTGCATTTGAAAACCATTTCCTTGGTAGCAGAGTTTTTGCAGATGTTGAATATTTTCACTAAGTTAGGTTTCACTCACACTTTAAAATTTAATCTGTTTTCACAGGTATAGTCATTTATACAACAAAGGATCAAATGAAGCTTTCTGGCTGCAGATTCGTGATGAGCATGCGTGTTTAGCTGATTACACCTGATCTTTGGGTCACCTGCCAGCTTCTTCAAGGTCATTGAAGAATGAGTATAACAGAACCAAGAACTGACAGTAGGAATTCATAGGCTCAGCAATGATTGTTTGTCTACCTTTTCATCCTGGGATCTGTTAGCTAACCCATTTTTAATCTTTATAATGTATGCTATATTTATTTTTTTACTAGTCTGCTCCCTGATCAGAATGTGTGGTATCAACCCAAACAAAGTCTTCCTATTCTCTAGGAATACTGAATTTAGGCAGCTAATCAATCTGCATAATCTATTCTTTATGCATTTAACAATCAGATTTGTAATCTTGTTGAAAGAATGAGTCTTGTGACAAGTTTTTCACAAATTCATGTTTTTTCCAAATATGTATGCCTTTTTAATTCCATCCTTACTATTCATAGGAATCATAGAATGGCTTGGGTTGGAATGGAAGCGACCTTAAAGATCATCTAGTCCCAACCCCTCTACTCGAGGCAAGGAACCTTCCAGCAGACAAGGTTGCTCAAAGCTCCATCCAACCTGGCTTTGAAGACTTCCAGGGATGGGATATCCACAACTTCTCTGGGCAGCCTGTTTCAGTTCCTCACCACCCCCACAGTAAACAATTTATTCCTGATGTCTAGTATAAACCTACTCTCTTTCAGGTTAAATCTGTCTCCTACCTTGTCTTTTCACTGCATACTTTTGTAAAAAGTCCCTCTCCATCTTTCTCTTCAGGTACTGGGAAGCTACAATTAAGTCACCCCTAAGCCATCTCTTTTCCAGCCTGAACAATCCCAGTTCTTTTAACCTTTCCTGATAGGAGAGGTGCTTCATGCCTCTGATGGCCCTCCCCCAGACTAGCTCCAAAAGGTCAATGTCCTTCTTGTGCTGGGGACCTCAGGGCTGCATGCAGCACTGCAGGTGGAGTCACTACTGGTGACAGAGAAAGAAACTTTATGTCAAAAAAAGATATTACTTGATTTTTTTGGCAACTTGGAAGCAAATAGTGGAATTACAAACATTTTAGCAGAGGAAACAAGCTGGAGCATGAGTGCAATTGTTATTGATTACCAGATGGTCATTCTCTAAATCTTTCCCCACTAGCAAAGACCATGACAACCTCCTTAAATAGGGCTCCTTTTGTGTATCCTGCGCTCCCACAGGAGAGTTTAAATAACTTCTCAATATTCATACTTCAACTAAGTTCATACTAATTCATACTTCAACTAAGAAACTTCATACTTCAACTTTCATTAGCTGCAGATATCTAATCTTTGTTTATGGTGTTTTCAAACTCTACCCTTCTAATTTATGTAAGAGAGATGCTGATCCTACCTGTATGTCTGAGTACATTTCACTCCATAACATATTTAGACTAAAAGGTTCACTCAAGTTCCCTGTGGAATAGGAAAGAATTTTTTTCTTTGTTTTAAAAGGAACTAAAGCAAAGTGAGTAGGTCTATAGAAATAGGAGGAGGTATTCCAGGTATGCTGCATTGAACTTTGAAGGCAGTAGAGAAGGCTGCACACTGATAAAAAACAATTGGGTAGCCTAAAGTACTGTCTAGAGCTAAGCACTCTATATACAGTGTTAATGATTGAATATCTGCCTCTCTATTATGCTTGTGTTGGAAGCAGAGTGGCATCATAACACTTCCTCCATTTCTATGGAGGTGCAGACCCTGCATTGAAATGCTTGACTGAGCTAGTTGTGCCATGTCCCAATAGAAATGGCGCTTTTATCAGACTCATTAAATTATTCAGATATGAAGTGAACAGATTGCCTGAGTAAGAGGGGATTTTATCAGTCATGGAGGGACAAGTTCAGACACTTGGCAAAGTATGAAAATATTTCAAGAAGTAATGACCAGAAGCCAGGAAACCTATCATGCTGTTTAACTGGCACTTCTGGGTTCTCTTGAACTGCTTTCTGCCAGCTGAGCCCATTTCAGAATGGCTGAGGGGTAGTTGCTGTATCGAGATCCCAAGCTGGATGTCTGAAACATCCTCGGCGCAGTGAATGCATGCTAAACTCAAGCTACAGTGAGGTCTCACAATCTTCAAATCCAAAGAAACCTCCCATTTATCTGCTCAGTCCTCTTAGGGATTTTCCCACCAGTGTTGGGAAACCCACAGTGTTCCCATTTTAGCCTAACTTTGAAAGCAGCACAGAAATGAGGCAGCCTCATTAGCCACTGATTTTTTAATGGCTCCTTTAACCCTGTGCTTCCTCCCACCACAGCCTTCCATAGCCTTTAATTTACAAATATCTTGAATATATCTGGAATCTAATGTAAAAAAGTCTGAAGGGAAGTGCTTGTGTAAGAGAGGGTGAGAAACCGAGGAGAAGCCGAGAGTCAGAGGAGGGATGGGCAAGCCTGAAGTAGGGTTGGGGGAGAGATGAGGAGCTAGGGACGAGCTGAAGCGGGGGGAGGAAGGCGGGGGGGGGGGGGAGGCGTGCAGAGATGCGGGGGTGTGTGAGGGTGCATGTGCATGGTTTGGGAACACAAATCGACATCGTCTGAAACGGACGTGACTTTTCCAGCGGGGGCGGGTGCACTCCGGCACCTGAGGCACGCAGCCTACCCCGACCAGCCTTTTCCACGACGGTGCAGGGGGTGAAGCCTCCCCCGCGGAGGCTGCACCCCTTGCCCGGTCGGGGAAAAGGCTCGCCAGGGCGGGTTGGGGACCGACGCGGATCCCCAGCCTGTTCCCGCATTGGTTCCCGTAAGTTCCCGCGTCATTTTTCTCCCCACACCCCGCTTTTCGCACTGGCAACCACAAGCCTCGATGGACGGGCGGGAGAAAGCTCGGATGCTCTGAGAGGGTCTGGGTTTGGGTTTGTTGGTTGTTGTTTTTTTCCCAGCCTCGGGAATAACCACTAGGGATGTCCGGGATTCAACCAGAGGATGGTTCCCCTCCGTACAGGAATTGGACGAGTGGGTCGGAACTAAATGAAACGCGGGAGGCTCTTTTAACCCCTTCCTCCGACTACGATGATGAGGAGTTCCTGCGATATCTCTGGAAGGAGTATTTGCATCCCAAGGAATATGAATGGGCGCTGATCGCCGGCTACATCGTCGTATTCATTGTGGCTCTCGTTGGGAACGTCTTGGGTGAGTCGAGCTCCCCAAAACTTCCCGTTCTCCCTTCCCGAGATGGGTTTTGCGCGGAGGGTGGCTGGAAACCGCGGTGGGTTTGGCACACCCCGCTGGAAAGGCGGCAGTCCCCAGCCGAGGGGGAAAGTTCGGGCTGCGCGGAAGGGGCCATAAAAAATCCGCTCCCCCTAGGCGGGCGAGGGGCTGCGGCGGCGGCGGCCGGCGTCCAGGGCCGGGCACGGGGAGTGGGCTGGCGGAGCTCACCGGGGCGGCCCGGCGGCGGAAAGTCGCGGCTGCCGGCCGGCTCCCGCCCCTGTCCCCGGGCCGAGGTGCTGAACCCTCCCGGCACGGCGGCGGCTCAGCCTCGCAGCCCGCTCGGGAGGATGCGGCTCCCTCGCGGAGCCCCGGCCCGGCGCTGGGGATATCGAGCGCGGGGCGGTTCTCCCGGACAGAGACAGGGACGAGGTACCGGGACGGCACCCGGCCCGCGACGGGAGCCGGCGGGGCCCCGCAGCTGCCAGAACGCGCGGCTCCTTCCCCGGCGGCGCAGCAGCGGCCGCGCTCCGTCCCCCGCGCTGGGAGCGGGGCCGTGGGGCGGGGGCGCGGCGGCCCCTCCCGGGCGCTCATTGAGGGAGCGAGGCGGGGCGGCGCCTCTCCTGGAGCCCGCCTCCTCCCGCTTCCATTCATCCTTGAAGGAGGCGGCGGGGGCACCGGCGCTGCTCGGCGGACGCCTCGAAGGGAGCGGTGGGGGCGCTGGAGTGTGGCGGAGAGCTGAGGAGAGCGAAGAGAGGGAGGGCACGGGTGGGCTGTGGCGGCGGGCGGGAGCGGCAGGGGAGCCTGGCCGTCAGCAGCCCGCCCGCTGCCTCCCGCCGCCCCCCACCGCTCCTCATCGCTCCCCATCGCTCCTCTCCGCTCCCCCGAGCGCGCTGCCGCCACGGCGGGGGCTCTCGCCGGGCTCTCGGAACAGGAACCTCCCTGGTGCAGGGGAGGGCGGCCACGCGTGTGCACACACCCGCCTGGGGCGGCCGTGCCCCCGTCCCAAGGCGGCCGTGCCCCCGTCCCAAGGCGGCCGTGCCCCCGCCCGGGCTGTGGGAGGCCGGGGGAGCGGAGCAGGCGCTGCCCTCAGCAGTTCTGCCTTTGTGAATGGGCGCGGCGTGGCCGCCGGAGCCGGCTCCGCCAGGCGGACCCCCTGTGCTGCGGTCAGGCCATTGGCATTCCCGGTGTCCATCCCGTGATACTGCCGCGAACGGAGCGCGCTGGGCCCCGCCCCGCCATACGGGACTTTCATTCATGTTTTTCAGAAGGAATTGTGCGTGTCAGGGCTGTCACTGCAAACTCTACAGGCTTCCCAAAGTGAGATGCAAATGAGGCTGCAGCCCAAGGCAACATTTTAAATGCGTTTTTTAAAATTTCAACGGATTGATGATAGTGGTTTGGTTTTTTTTAGTAATTCTGTAGCGTTGCCCTAAGTGCCTGTGTGCACGTTTGCTCAGTCCATTGCTCGGCAGCCAGCTTGATCGACAGTGTAAAGATAATAACCCTGGCAAAGATAATGGCCCTTTATTTTAAACTAGGATAAAAGCTGTCCTTTTTCATGATTTTGAGCAAAGACTATTTTAGGAGAGCCACCTGTGCTTACCTATTATCCTCCACCGATACTGTAGACAAGCTTCAGAATGCTGTCCTCTCACCTGTAAAAATTCAAGGTCAAATCTTCACCTATAGGAGCTTTCGCTCTCTTCCCCTCTGAAGCCACAAGGAGAAAAGCTTTCCTCTCTGTGCACTCACAAATAGAGATTATTCCACTAGGGATGTGCAGCTGTTCTTTCCTTGCATTTGTGTACATTAACTCTTTGCTTGGGATGGAAACTGGCATCTGCCTCTGCACCCAGCTGGATTCCATCTTTTACTGGATGGAATGTCCACCTTTTGTCCTCTGAAATCTCTCTCTCCAAGTTGTAGTACATGGTAGCAAATCTCTGTCTTAAAATGGACAGAGAAGTAGCTGAACACTTTTCTGTCCACTCCTCTAAATCACAGTAAATCCTACAATAGATCATTCAGCTTTACAGCTGGACTCAATGATCTTAAAGGTCTTTTCCAACCCAAATGATTCTATGATCCTCCTCAAGCTGTTTGCTCCATATTGCTGGTTCTGTTCATGGAGGAATTGTTTGTGGTCTCTGCAGGGCTTGGTAGCTGAATACTGTCTCATCTTTATTCAAGAAAGCTCACACTGCACTGATTGCAGGCTCATGTGATTCTGAGGAGAGAAATGGATGTGATCTAATGCTCTTTACAAAGACATTTTTGAGGAGCGTTTTTACTACATGTGAAATCTGGTGTAGATCAGTACACTTGTTGACATCCCTGAGAAACTGATTTCTGCTGCTTGAAAAATCCATATTCAAGCCTAATCTCGGATTTAGTCATGGACCTTCTCAAAGAAGAGCAGGAGTGCTTCTAAAGAATGTTTTAGTGGCTTTAGTGGTGCTTTATAGTATCATCCTTAATGCTTTATAGTGTCATCCTTAGTGATGTATTGAGTTCCTTTGCTTACATTTGCCCACTGTTGAGGAGCTCATGACATGTGGAGTCAATGCTTTGGTTCTATTTTTAACACATTCTATTCAAATAACACTTAAGTAAATGGGGAAAACCCTCCCTTTCCATATGTGGTGCTGAAAATTACATTTCTGCTTCTTATCTTGGTTTGTGCACTCACACGGGATAAGGTGTGTCTGTGCAAGTGGAAGGCACAGCACATTCCTTAGATATTAGTAATAAACTGGATTGTAGCATTCTGACAGTTAATTAACAACCAAGGGTAGAATCAGGAGCTTGAACTTTGATTGACACGTATTGGGTTCTTGAGTGAGATACACAGCAGGAATTCCACTAATAATAGCATATAACAAGGGCTGCATTGCTATTTAGTTTTCAGTTTAATTAGGAGAGTTGACACAAACTGGCCGAGCTGCTGCACGTGCCAGCTAAAGTGAAAAACATTAGCAAGTCTCTGTATTTGAATGCAGGTTTCAGTATTGCACACAGTGCTTCATGTCAATTATTCTCTTGTATGCCTGGGTTGGCTGCTGACCAGGTATTTCAGTGTAACTCAAGGAAAAGAAACATATTTTAAGATGAATTTATGATATATTTACATGAACATTAAGGAAATCTGAAATCTAGATGGCAATATCAGTATGATGATTTATCCTATTTTCTTCTTTATTTGGGTCACTATTTATCACTAGAAGCAGAACAAGTGTGGAGGGTAAGGATTTTCTGTTTTGCAAATAAGACCAAAAAATTTCTTTACTACTGCTGTTCAATGAAACTCTTGCAATTTCTTTTCACATCTAGTGCAAAATGTAGGACTTCTTAATGTAGAATGTATGTTGACTGCAAAGACCTTTTTCTTCTTTATTTGAAAACAGGCAATTAAAAACATTGCTTGAAAATAGGAAACTAGATAATTAAAGAAGAAAAGGTATTTTTAGGATGCCTGAAGGTCTCTGGTTACTGATGCCATTCCAGGCTGATCAGTTGCAGTAGTTAATAACTGGAGTAAGACTACAAGGTAATGTACAACTACATACATTTAACTCTGTTTATACATATGAAGAATGCAAATGACCCTTGTTGAAGTTATTCATTCATGTGGGTCAGGATTTTTCTAATGAAATGGCTTTTCTCAGGGAACATGCATTCATCAAAATGAAAATGTGCAGCAGAGATCACTTGGTTGGATCAAGGACTGAAGGCAGAACAAGCAACCTTCTGGCATCCCCCCAGCTGGGCTGCTGGGGCTCTTGGCAGCAGCCCCTCTCAGAGCTGGCAGGAGCTGCAGTCCTTAGCACACACAGTCTGACAGTGCCCAGCTTGAAAGTCCTCAACACTGCTGGCTTCCAAGGGTAAGAGGCCATGAAGTACATCAATGAGAAGTCTCAGAAACTTTATTTACTCACACAGTTTGGTGACACTTGTTTTTTGTTCCCACTCAGAAAGAGACTGAGAGAGACTTACCCCTCTCTGGATAGATGTATTATTTATTATCTGTTTTACAGTAACTGCTAGTTTTGCTGAGATCTGTAAGAGCCCAACTATGCTCCTTTCTTCAAAGAGTTCACAGTCTGACTCATAGAGTTCAACAGCCTCCATTTAATTTTTCTAGGGCTAGAGCAGAAAAAAATCAGTGTATGGCTCTAATACCAGTCCTGCTCAATGCCTATGAATAGGCAGCTCTCTCAAATGCTGCTCTGTTGTAATTTTAAAGATATCCAGTGAATACTGAGGTCTAGGCATACATGCCTATGTTGGTAGAATTGGATGAGTCATGTATTCTCCTAAATGATCTTCATGAATCCTATTTTCTTGCTGTAGATGAGGCATATTTCATTTAATTACGTTTTAAATGATTACATTTCATTTTTTTCAGATTCCTTGGGGAACCTGGCATTGAAAGGACTTTGTAATATCAGCATGAGAGTCACCTTTATCTCTTGGATGAATAACTAGAATGGCTTTATCACTGTTAAGAAGACAGCATATAGGAAATGAGACAATATGTATATATTTTTTTCTACCTAAGAGAATGTATGGGCTCAATTTATAGTAGAGTTTGAGTATCAACTAAAGTACATTGCTATTTGCATAATATAGGGATTACTCACCATTTTTCAAAACAAAAAAAAATTGAAGGGTTTGGGATTTTTTTTTTTTTGTTTATAAAGCATAATTTATTTTTTGTGTTGCATGTTAAATTTGTTTTCTTGGACATAAGCAGCTGACTTACTGCCTGTCTCACAAGTGGAATGTGTCAGAAAAGAGCTATGATGGACTGTTCCCCAGGGGAGGGCATGCCAGGAGCTGAGGGCAACTGCAAGACTGACAGGGCACTCACCAACACAGTCCCACAGTGCCTGAGACTTGGTAGGTCTGAGGATGTTTACCAGGTTTCAGTCACCTCCCAGCAACCACCAGACAAATCTATTCTGATAAAACAGGTCTGAGGT